CCCACCCCCCCCTTCGCCTTGCCTCTCCCGCTGGACAGCGACGCCCCAGGGACCCCCGGCACCAGCCCTCGCCGCCTGGAGAGCAGCCTGTTGGACACGCTACCGGGCCGGGCCCCGGGTACCCCGCTCAAAGACAACCAGAACAATCTCAACCTGCCGCCGGCCCCCAGCCTGCCCCAAAGGAGGCCGCCCGGGCTGCGGGGCCCGGCAGAGGGGGACAGGGGAGACCACGACAAACAGCAGGGGGCACGGGGCCGGGCCACCGAATCCCAGGAGAGATTTGAATGCTTGGACTGCCGCAAGTCCTACCACACCTTCTCCGGGCTGGCCAAACACCTCCAGCAGCGCTGCCTGCTGCAGGCCAGGAAGTATTTCAACTGCAAGTACTGTGACAAGGAGTACAGGAGCCTAGGGGCGCTCAAGATGCACATCCGCACCCACACGCTGCCGTGCGTCTGCAAGATCTGCGGCAAAGCCTTCTCCCGGCCCTGGCTGCTCCAGGGACATATCCGAACACACACAGGTGGGCTGCGGCGCCGGGGCGAGTCCGGGGGTCAGCGCAGGGCGGGAAAGGCCTTTCGTGGGCGTCCAGGGAGAACCTGGTGCGGCCACATTTGTATCGGCAGCCGGAGCTGCAAAAATGAGCCACGGATATTCGCCTTGACAGTCGTGGGTACGGATCCTCGTGGATAGAAAGTGGCTACTTGTGTTGGAATAAATTGCCCAGGGAGGTTGTGGAATCTCCATCTCTGGAGATATTTAAGAGCAGGTTAGATAAATGTCTATCAGGGATGATCTAGACAGTATTTGGTCCTGCCATGAGGGCAGGGGACTGGAGTCGTTGACCTCTCGAGGTCCCTTCCAGTCCTAGTGTTCTATGATTGCTCCACTTGGCCCGTAATTTTGCACAGCTGCCAATGCAAGCAGCCAGTCCGAGATCCAGCAGGTGCATGGCGGGCTGCAGTGTTCCCTGTAAGCTGGGGGCTTGTGCGACTACTCAGGAGAGATTCGAGTGCCGCCCAGCTGATTAGCAGAGTGCCCCCGGCTAGGTTTGTGTTTCGGTGGGTGGTGCCCATTCACATGTGCCTTAGTGCACGTAACAAAATTTATTCCTTGTGTGGCTGGGGGGAAAAACTACACATGGATGAAAAAGATTATGGGGAACAGTAGAGGGTGGGTGTTGAGAGCTGGTCAGGAGAAAATAGCTAAACTGTGGCTTGCCCCCATGTTTGGCTGTGAATTTTTCACTCCCAAAACACCCCGCCAGGCTCAGTTTGGTTGGCCATGCTTGTGTTTTGTGTGGAGCTTTTTTGCACGGCTGAAGAGCAAAAGGGCCCCTTCTGCTTCCAAATCAAAGGCTGCAGACCAGCTTCTGCGCCTGGGACATGAACACGTTGTTTGTGCCCCAGCAGACCCTCGCGTCTCCATTCCACTCAGGGCGAGCCTTCGCCGTTAGCCGCTGTACAGATACTCCGGCCACCGCAGCCCTTGCTTTGAGAAGCTTGCAGGCCAAGGGCCTGGCTTTTGGTACGCTTTGGCTCCCCTCGCTGCTCCGCTCCACTTGATGAGTTGTTGTAATTTTAGCTGCTGCATTCCCACCGGAGCTTCAACTCCTACCCCCTGCTGAGCCAGCTGGGTGGCGCTTAAAGCACCAGCTGGAATCAGGTTGGAAACTGGTCAGTGGCAACCTTTGAGTTCTAACTCCAGCCAACAGTGCACAAAGGATCAGCTCGATGGTGGCAGTTATCCATGCAGTTACCTTGGATTCTATAATTGCCACTCCTACTCGTGATCCTATATATCTGTTAGTCTCAAAGGCAATGTTCCTTCTAATTATTGTCGTGTGTGTGGAATAAATTTTGTTACATGCACCGAGGGCATGTGTGGATGTGCACCACCGGTAACAACAGGCTACCAGCTGCCAGAGCTCTGCTAATCAGTTGGGCGGCATCTCCATCTCTCCTGGGAAGCTGCCCAAGCATGCAGCTTACAGGGAACCCTGCTCCAAGGTGCCACAGGCCGTTTTTAAGCTTACCTATGTGTATACCTATTATGCTATGCGCACACAGCCCCATTGGCTTCAGTGGCTCTACCCACAGGCAGGAAGTTAACAAAGTGCACAAAATTAAATCTGGCCTGGATCTTGGAAGAAGAATCTCACCCCCTTAGATTGAGTAGATATTTAAAATCCCCTTTGTTTAGCCCCGTTTTGCTCTTTGTTTACCCGTTGCATTTGCACGGGGCAAACTCCATGAACTTAGTTTTCCCCCCTGGAGTTTCAATTTCAGCATCTCGGGGCGGTGAACGAGAACAAGTGTTTTCATGGGAATGAATTTTTGTAAGTATGGAAATCTTGCCCTGTTTTCACAAAGCAAATATTCTTGTCCCTATTTAACTTGATGTTCCCTTAATAGAAATATTTGGCTGTATTTCCTACCTAGTCCCTTAGAAATGGGGTAACTTGAGGCAAATTGTCTCTCAATGAAATAACCGGAAATGGACTTGGCTAGCCTTGTCCCACTGCCAGATGCAAACGACGTGCAGAGCAAATGCAGATAGCGAGAAGTAAATGATCTAAAAGAATTCTTCTGGCTTTAATCATCTTAGGTACTGCCGATGGGGGTTGGGTGAAGGGAGGGAAAATTCCACTCTCCTTTTAAAAAGATGTTGTCTAATCCGTCCAGATTAGCCCTAAATCTGTTTACTCACGGTGCGCTTATCATGAGATTGCTGTGGGGCCTTTAACAGTCTTGGTTTGACCCCTCTTGGCTCACATCCGTGTTGCCTCTGTGTGCCTCCGTCTCCCCCTGGTGAAACCCGGCTAATGCTTACCTCTCTCCAGCTGGGTTGTGAGGGTGGGTTAAGGCTGATAAAGTGCTTTGAGGATTTAAGTGCTGTCAGCAGAGAGAGGCACATTTCTTCCACCTAAACAATCACTTTCCAGGCACACTGCGGTGGGAAAGTCCCTCTTGTAACAGGATGTGCTCATGCCGTCTAAAATAGAAGCTGTAAAACTGGAAACAAAATCCGAGGGCCTGATGCCGAGCCCGGAGCTGTGCTGGAGATCAGGCGCCCGCACATCAGTGCTCCTGGCCAGGGTGCACCCTCAGGCACATTTCTTCCACCTAAACAATCACTTTCCAGGCACACTGCGGTGGGAAAGTCCCTCTTGTAACAGGATGTGCTCATGCCGTCTAAAATAGAAGCTGTAAAACTGGAAACAAAATCCGAGGGCCTGATGCCGAGCCCGGAGCTGTGCTGGAGATCAGGCGCCCGCACATCAGTGCTCCTGGCCAGGGTGCACCCTCAGCTAATATTTGCTCCCCTGCCCGGGGGGGGGGGGGGGGGTGGGGGGGGGCGGACTCCCCAGCCAGCGTCCCTTTAAGCAGACGGCAAGTCAGACCCGACAGGAGTTGGCAGTATGCTCTAGTTGCAAAGAAAAAGCCTCGTCCTGCAGCAGGGGTGCTTGTGGGGACATAGCGCCCAGGGAGACAGCATTTTGCTTCCCCACCCCGCCCCCAGCCTCTGCTGCAGAAGCCAGCCAGGCCCCTCACCAGCTGGGCTTGAAATTCACAACCTAAAGACTCCCTGTTGAATCTCAGACATTGGGCGATGGAAAAGCCCCGCCGAGCCAGCGCCTGGACAGGCTCCGGAGCAGGGCCTGGTTGCTTTATACGGGGCTCTGGGCGTGGCACCTGGATATCGCCCAGGAAGATCCGGACCCTTTTGTGTCTTGACCGGTCAGCTCAGCGGCCTGTCAGGACTGGCTGACTTGGGAAAACCGGAAAGGGTGTGAGCCGCTGGCTTGCCTAGGCCGGGCCCACGCGTGGGAGCGGCCGGAGTGTGGAGCTATTCAATGTGGTGCAAAGAGGGGTTGCGGGGTGAACCTGGCAGTGAATATGCTCCCCAGGCAAGTGGTGTGGCCCCGTGGCTGGCGAACGGAGCTGGGAGGGGGAGATCTGGGCCCAGCCCGGAGGAGAGGGTCTGCTGGGGCCTCTCCATCGCCCAGCTCCTGTGATTGTGAATTTCAAGCCCAGCTGCTCCCTGGATATCCCCTAACCCAGCTGAGCGCCTGGCCAGTGCACCCAGCCCCCTGATTGCGGGGGGAGCCAGGACGGGAGAGCTGTACCGCTGTTCCTGGGCCTAGGCTGCCAAGATCTCAAAGGAGGACTCCATAAACCAGCCCAGTTCTTGGGTCCCTCTCCCTGGCCGGGCCGAGCCAGGCTTGTCCCCTGTCCGGCAGGCGCTGCTGGGAAGGGGGCAGTTCTCTGACCGCGTTGCCTTCGTCCCCCCCGCAGGTGAAAAGCCCTACAGCTGCTCGCACTGCAGCCGCGCCTTCGCCGACCGCTCCAACCTCCGCGCCCACCTGCAGACGCACTCGGAGGTCAAGAAATACCAGTGTCGGGGCTGCTCCAAAACCTTCTCCCGGGTGTCTCTGCTCTCCCGGCACGAGGAAGCCGGCTGCTGCCCCGCACTGTGACCCCCTGCTGCCCATGGCTACGAGGGAGCCCACTGTCAGCCTGGGCATCTCTGGGCGAGCTTCCGGCACCCCGCCACGGGGCAGGCGGACCTGTGCTCGCATGGGCGAAGGCGCCAGTTGCCGGGGATGGTGGAGATCCAACCCTCTTTTCCCAGCTGTGCGTGTTGCGCTAAATGGCACCTGCTCTGCCAAGGATGGTGCTGGAGGCCTGGCAAACTCGTGGCAGGAATGACTTGTGTGGAAAGGGAGAAGAGACTCTTCCAGGCCAGCGCGGAGCTGTGGGGCGGGAGAACTGGATCACCCCCAAACCCCACGCTGCTTCCTCTCTGCTCGCCGGCCTGGAAGCACCGTTTGTCTGCACTGTCCAGGGTTCCAAGCACAGCCCGGCCTGGGGGTGGGGGGAATAGCCTCTAGTCATTTCTGCCCCCCATCCTTTGCATCAAGGGCTGGGGGGTGGTCCCATGCAACTCGCCTGCCTCTCCCCTGCCACCCCTGCGCCGTGTCCGGTCCCCACCTGCATGCTGCCGCTGTGGCTGCCCAGGTGGGATCTTCTGCTGGGTTGGGTTTGATTGCCTGGTGTCCAATAAAAAAATAAAACCCACAGCCTGCACAGGGAGCGTGGTCTTGCTGCCCTAGGAGCGCTCGTGAAAAGGGTGCAGGCTGCTTCCTGCTCCACCGTGGTGACGTGCTCCCACCCAGCCTCAGCACTCACCTGAGCCGGGGTTATTGTATGGGTGCAGCAGCTAAGACCCCCCGTCTTGGGGCAGGGTCCCATTGCACTAAGCGCTGAAAAAACCCAGCGTCCGGCCTAAGGATCTGACCGGCAGCGGGGGCTGGAGCCGGGATGCAGAAACAAGGAGACGACAGAGGTTGGCAGCCGGGGAGCCGGCTGGCGGGGGCTGTGCAGACACAGCAGAGGAATTGCTTCTGGGCGGTCTGGCTTATCGCTCCCCCGGGCGTCTGCGTCTCCCCCTTCGGGGCGTGGCCTGGTTGCCCGTGGACCCAGGCGTGTCCTCCAGCCCCCCAACGCGCCCTGGCGCTTGCGTTGCCAGGCGCTGCTGGAGGGCGGCTCCCAGCCCTGCAATCTCGGCTGGTGCTCGGGGCTTTTTTAAGGGCCTTGTCGACGTAGGTCGGTGTGTCTCACGCACACGCTCTTGCTTCACTTGCTGTCCGAGGCCCCCGCCTCCGACCGCCCAG